AATTGTCGAATCAAAACCTAAACGTAAGGATTTCTTGTTTAAGTTGCTTTTGGAATTTTTAGTAATAACTCGACTGCGACTAGGCAATTTCTATAACTTCTCAAACAAGTCAGTTTTATCTAAATTAATTTGATCGGAAGCTTCCGAGTTCTGATGACTATTTGTATTGCTTGCCATCGAGGGTTTTGATAATATCCGTCGACGAACGGGGTCCTGAACAACGATTATGTTTCATATCTTGAGTATTAACAAGAACGAAACAAGATAAAATCAAATTTTTAAGAACCATAAAAGGGGAATTGGAATTACTATGATAAGCTATTGAATTGGATTAATAATGGCTTCAAAATTCTAGTTTGAACAAAACCTAACATTTTTTATATAATTTGTTCAGGGCTCGTGGAGGAACCATTAAAACAAAGGGTAAACTCTTTCTGTCAAATGTCCGCATGGTTTTTGTTGCTGATAAACCACCTACAGATTTCTTCTATGCTTTTGACATGCCCCTGGTATGAAAAAAAAAACCTTTTATCTTGTTACTTAAAATGCATAAATCATCTAATCTTTTTTCCTTTTTTCTGATTCATGCTTCATTCCTGCAGCTTTATGTGCATGATGAAAAGTTTAACCAACCAGTCTTTCACTGCAACAATATATCTGGACTTGTAGAGCCTGTAAGTAGATCAAAACAATCATTTTCATTAAAAAAATCATACCCATTAGCTTTTTAATTTATCTTATTGAATTATTTAAAACTGCAGGTAGTGCCATATGATCAAAACAGGGAGATGTACCCTACTCACTCTTTCAAGATTCTGTTTAAACATGGAGGTTGTGGGACATTTGTGCCCTTGTTTTTCACCTTGATAAAATCAGTGAGACAATATAATCAACAATTTCAAACTGGAAATGATCCTTTAAGAGCAGCCCAAACTCCAGTTGATGAAATGATCCATGCAGCGTAAGCATTGTTTCTTGTTCATTTGATTTGTTTTATATATAAAGAAGTGTACAGTTTACCCCCTTCATGTTTCTGATTGTTCACTTTTCCCCCTTTTTGTTTGAGCAGATATGTTGATCCTAGTGATCCCACAAAGATCTTTCTGCAGCAACCTGGTTCAGAAACACATAAGCGGGACACATACCATTCTTAATCTGAATAATAATAATTGATGTATGTATCTTTTTTAGTCTAATCTAGGTTTGTATTGATACATTTGAACATAAATTCTAGTAAATATTGTATATTTTTGGTTGGTTTATTTCAAGTCGAGAACAATTTTAAAATTTGGATCTAGAAATTTGTTTAACTGGTGATTTTGTTTTCCATTTGGTGAATGTTATTTGCTAACTTAGTGATTGTGAACGATCACCTAAAATCTCAACATGTGATTTTAGAGCATAGTTTTGAAATATGATTCAAACAAGTGGTATTGGAACATTGTATTTCATTCATCTGGGGAGCAATATACCATATCAAGAAGTTAATTCAATTACCTCAGGTTTTTCTCAGTTGAAAATAAAAAATGGTGCACATATTCTTGTTATAATGAGAAATATATGTGTCTAGAGTTCCTTAATTTGCTCAATTTAGGATGTTGAATGTCATCGACAATCCATCGTATTTTGTTGTGGATAGAACTTTTTTGGAGTTGTGAGCCATTGTTGTTTTATTCGATGCATATATAGCGGGTCTTGTTTGCGTTTGGCCAAAAGACCTATAATATTTGGAACGTGCTCTATTTAGAGGGTTCTGTTTTAGGAGTTATGGATTCCTAGTTCTCATAACTCCTTTTTTAAAGGGAAGAAGCATGAATTTTTGAACCATTGTCTTCGTTCACGAGTTACTAGTCATTATATGGTTTGTATTAACGATTGTTTGTTAGTTATCATACATTTTGGTTCGGAAAGGAAAGTTAAGGTGGAATTAGTTTGAAGGCCATCCAAATTGTTCCGACATTTGACACTTTAATGTATTTTTAGTATGAAGATCCTTTGACTTGTTGAGCATAGATATTGTAAGCGTTGGTGATTTTAGTGTCATCAAGCATTTAAGGTAATTTAGATTTATGGGAGTACATGAGGGGAGGGGAGATTGGCTATGCTCAAATATGAGTTAGGAGTTAGGAGTGGATACTTATATAAGCTAGTTGGATTCCAAGCATGGCCGATAAAAAGGGTTAAGGGTCATGACTCAATACCCCTTATGAGGTCTAGGGACAATGGCTTGACACCTAAACAATTTTTTAGGTTTACATGTGGCGTCGGATCAACTACTAATGGTTTAGTGTTGGTGGTAGTTTATAACACCCCTAGCAAATTTAAATATCCATATAAGGTAAAGGTCAAACCATTTAACAAAAATTAGTATGAGGAAATAGGTCAAGACTTTAACATTATAAAAGTTTGTATGGGCAAATTTAAATATCCATTTAAGGTAAAGTTCAAACCATTTAACAAAAATAAATATGAGGAAATAGGTCCTCAAAAGTAAAGTCTTTTAACATTATAAAACTTTATATGTCAGTAGTGGGGGCATATGAGGGTGTAACGATATAATCAAGTGACAACAATTTAAAGTAAACATATTACATACACCAAAATATAATGTCTTATAAATGTCTTTAAGCTCATTAGTCTTCAATCACTAAGTAACAACCACCTCATGTCAAAATAGTGTGTTAGGCATCGAAAGCCAAGTGAGTAATATCGTGATTAGGCGAATAGGAACGAACATATTACAATACAAATCATAACCCCTTTTTCTACAAAATTCATAAAATCATCAAAACTTCAATAAGTTGGGGAAACATTGTAAAGGATATAAATACACTACTATTAATATCATAAACATCCTAAACACATCATAAAGGAAAATAATGTATAAGTATGTGATGTATGATATGGAAATCAAAACCCCAAGTCAATCTATAACTTACAAGTCTTTGACCCTCGTTCTTAAGGGACTCTCATGGTAAGTGTATCGGTCGCAAAATGGTTACGAAGCATATGTAGATAAAAAATAACATAACATATTTTCTACAAAGAAGCTCCAACAAATTTCATCGTACTAGGTACAAGTACACCATGTCACAAGTACCACGTGAAGGGCATTCAAAGACCCAAAAGGCATATGATAGTTTCATTGGAAACTCTTTACAAAATTTTGCACTTTTGCAACTTTCATATGTAATGCTTTCATAGAAATCATTCACCATCTTTCACAACATTTACAACATTCGCATTTGGACATCTAATATTCCCGAAGTGTTCGGACCACACAAGTATCAAACTCACCTATTACGGATGCACATGATTATGTTTTAAAAACATAAACTTCAATTAGAAATCATTAAAAGAACATCCCGATTTCAAATACATATTTCTCAGAATAATGCATGATTGAATACAACAAGGAGATACATATAGTATTCCAATCAACAATATACATATAGGCATGTTAAGCTTCCTAATTCTCAAGTTTTTTTCCGCTGCTCCTCCGCTCATTCAGTCTGACCTTCCCTCACATATAGGTGGGGCAATGGTGGTGGCCTACCAACGTTGCATTGCCCTTTATTCATCATAAATTGCCGAACTACCTCCCCAATTATAGAGCACAATTTTCCGAACAACTACTCATCACATAGAAGGTCAACACTATTTATATTTGTAGGCAAACTCACAAACCAACTCTTGATCAATGACAATCGCAAAAACTCAATTCGTGATCTTCAAATAACTCTGAAACTGAAGAACTTGAAACCAAAGACTTGATATGAAAACCAATCCGCCCTTGAAAATGTTGTGTCACTAAATATTTATTATTGACATGAAATTAAGTGTTACGTCACACTTACATTATATAGACTTTTGATGACAACTCTTATAAAAAAATCTGGATAAGGGTTTAAAGGCTAATCGAAACAATGTTAGTTTTTTATAACTAGATTTAAAATGCAAAAACATAAACGTTGGATGTTTGATCTCGAATCTTATTAAAAGAAACTTAAACAAGAAGGAATATTACTTACGTTCTTCCATTGAGATTTTTGTATCGGATGAGCAGAGTTTGTTTTTCAGTTGATTTCAAAACTCTATTTAAACCTCTAAGCAAAAGATTCACAAATTTTGTATGTGTATTTCATATCCCATGTTTCTATATAGATTGAGATATAATTGAATGCTAGAGATATTAAGGATTTAACAGAGTTTGAATCAACTAGAAACTCAACCTACAAAATAAAATGGTAAGTATTTATATTTATTTATTGATAAAATCGGTTCATCAACATTTTGAAATAATACATACAATAAATCAAAATTTAATTATATACATTTAATTTAAATTAAATGGTTGCAAAAATATCTAGCAAGCTCAAGTTAAATGTCGACGTGACTATAACTTTGGCAATCAGCCAAAACAACTAGTTTAGTATACTCATGATGTTGATGAGATTGCAAAATATGAACAACCAAAGTTCAACAACTCATGATTATATTTTGAAGATAGAATATAAGTGAAAGAGGCTAGTGATTTGACTATGATTATTAATTATCGTAAATATCAGTTGTGATTGTGAATCGAACAAAAACAATCATCATCTTTCCAACTATAATTATCTTTTATCAGTATTGGATGAGCATATGACTTGTTTACTTTTGTTGGTATTTTTGGATTCTAGAAGACAATTTTGAAAACAGAGATGCATATAAAATTATAGATGGTGTGAAAATTGAGTTTGACAGTTTGTGTGGATTAATTATGAAACTTCGCCTACTTTTTATAAATGGAAAGATTCATTATTTTTCAATTTTTTGAAATTTCACAATTATAATGTTATGAAACCTTTGCATGACAAACTTATTTGAAAATATTTCATAAATGAGTAATCAAAGCCTTGAACACGTGAAGATATAGTATTTTTGTGATTATCCAAAATCCAAAATGGAAGATATTTAAGAGATAGGGGGTAGGGGCCAAGCAATTTCTCATGTAAATTCTTTGTATGTTAGGTACGCTTCCACCTTTCAACCCCACTCTTACACCAATCCCTTCATAATCCACATTGTCATAAATTCATTAAACTCTCTGACTTTCTCATCCGAACCTCCTCTCATGTCTTCTTCAGGTATTTCCTTTGAATCACCATCAAACTCGCCGCCACCACCTCCTTCCACCACCGCCGTACCTCCTGCCGCCGGTGTACCCAAATTCAAGTCAACACCTCCACCTTTACTTCCCATTACCCCACCGGCGTTCTCACCTTCCTCCTACTTCTCTTTCACCGGTGGTCTCACCTCCGCTGATCTTCTCGACTCCCCTCTTCTCCTTTCTTCTTCGCACGTAAGTCTGGCTTTTTTTCTCTGCCATTAATGACGTCCTAGAGCTCTTGTTTATTGTCATGATAAAAAAAATTTCTACCAAAGTTTTACATTTCTCGAAAACAAACGAATTGGATTTTGGAGAAATGAAAAAACCCATTACCCAAGTTTCGATCTTTTCAATTTTGGTACCATTTTTATTGATAAATCCATATGAAAGTATCTAACTTTTTACAATTTTCTTGTAGATTTTACCATCTCCAACGACTGGTTCTTTCCCTTTACAAGCCTCCAACTGGACATCCAACTATCAAAGTCAAGAACACGGCATAAAGAAAGAACACGACAATTTCACAGATTTCCCATTTCAAACCCAATCAAATCCTCACACAGTAAGTTTTCAGGAAATATATCAACAACCCAGAATCGAAGATGACAAAAGTTTGGTAAAATCAGAATATTCATTTCAGAAACAGAGCTTTGAATCAAATTACCCAACTGATCGTAACATCTATAATCATCGATCGTCACAGAAGAAGTTGGATGATGGGTATAATTGGAGAAAATACGGGCAAAAACAAGTGAAAGGTAGTGAAAATCCAAGAAGTTATTACAAGTGTTCCGATCGAAATTGTTCAACGAGGAAGAAGGTGGAGACATCTTCAGATGGGGATATTACAGAGATTGTTTATAAAGGAAGTCATAATCATCCGAAACCACAATCCACCAAACGATCATCTTCTTCATCAGTTTCCAATAATTCACTTGTAGTGAATCAATTTAGTGATTTCCCATATCAATCTCATGGTTCTCGACAATGGGAATTGGTTGGAACGCCGGAAAATTCATCAGTTTCTGTCGGAGATGATGAGTTTGATCGGAGTACGTCAGGTGGAGATGAGTTTATTGAAAATGAAACTCCGGCTAAAAGACTGTGAGTTCCTTTTCTTCTTGTTGAAAGGACAATTTTGATTTGATAACTACTTTTTTTTTTTTTTTTTGCTTATTTTCAACTTTAAAAATGTCAAAACCATTACATTGGGACACGTGTAAATCTGTTATTTAAAGTGAATATCTTAAACCTATTTCGTAAATTGTTTAACAGGAAGATAGAGAGTGAAAACGAAGGGATAAGTAGGACTGTAAGAGAATCGAGAGTTGTTGTTCAAACCATAAGTGATATTGATATACTCGATGATGGATATAGATGGAGAAAGTATGGCCAAAAAGTAGTGAAAGGGAACCCTAATCCGAGGTAATCATTTGTTTATTGTTTCTTTTTTTACTTTAAACTTTATATCTTTCATATAAACGAAGGAAAGAAAAAGATAGCAACTTTTTGCAAAAAGATTCATATGGAGTTTAATTATTTTCTTCTTTTGCCAACATTTGTAGGAGTTACTACAAGTGCACCACTCCTAATTGCTCAGTTAGAAAACATGTGGAACGCGCATCTCATGACATGCGCTCGGTGATAACGACCTACGAAGGGAAGCACAATCATGATGTGCCACCGGCTCGTGGTGTTGGTCACCGACAATTACTGTCTAGCAACCAGGACAACAATGTGGCCAATGTGACAATTAACGCATCGAAACTGTTTCATCACCATCCTAATGACTCTATGATCAATCAAATATATGGGTCCACGTTACCTGCACTATCAGAAACACAGTTTACATTAGAGATGTTGCAGAGTTCACAGAGTTTTGGGTTATCAGGGCCAGAGAACTCTATACGGTCTTCTTACATGAGTCGACAACCAAGTTCGGGGAGTATTTTTGCTAAAGCTAAAGACGAACTAATTGAAGACGGAAACTTTTTGGAGACCGTGCTGAGTTGAGGTTGTTTTTGCAAGGATTGAACTTGTTAATACTCATACATGGAGGGTTATTATAGAAAATATATGAGTGATATTCTTTTATTGTTCATTGACATACTTTTGTTTTGGGAAATGTTACCATTTGTTTATTTTTTTGATTGTTGTAATATATTCTTCACAGAAACCATGTATATCTAAGGTTCTAAGGTACATAATAAAAGATATGTATATTTAAGTTTGTAAAGGTATATAATAAAATAATAAAAACATTATTTATTTATTTTACTTGGTTGTGGGTGTGCTTGGATGTACAATTTTTTTAGTAAACCTAATATGTGTTAACTTTTTGATACAAGGAAAGTTCTGATCTTCAAAGGGAGACCTTATATGTGTTATGGTCATAGAATGAAAACAACCATCTAGATTATTGCGAGCTTCTCGTACCATAGAATTGTATATCACGCGTAATAGTTATTTGTTTGTACTACAATATGTATTTATCTTTTTTACAATTAGAAATATATAAATAAAATACATCTTAAATTATAAACTATTATATAAAATAATCAAATTATACTAGAATGTCGTTGTAGCTTGTAACTCTAAACTAGTCGAAAGGAACCCCTCACGCACGATTAAACTATTGTCATGCTAGTTGACAGAAATAATATATGATATTAAGATACATAGGATTAAATTACACGTCATTAACTTGTGATATAAAATTTTGGTAGTAACATTTTAACTAACAAGATCAAATCATATAATCAATGAGAAAATAGTATTTCGATCACACAATTACAAATAAGTTGGTGAGATTACAACATTATCATTAGTATTTGGTGAGGATACTCTATTATTGTTATCATTTATTTATTTATTTATTTATTTATTTATTTATTTATTATTATTATTATTATTAAAAATTTCCTTATCACCTTATGTAAAACCAAAACATGCTCGTATGTTTCACAAAACATACATTATGATAAGACTCCACGGAGTGGACCCGACAAGAGGTTGGCATGACCTCGACACTCTGACATACACCGCCCACAAATGTGACATGTCGAGTGAATTGTAAGGAAACAACATTCTATTGCTGATGAGAAACGAGGGAGAAATCACGGGTTGAAGGTTTCATTGGGTTTTTTTTTTAATTTCAAATCATTTAACCTAATCTTAACCCACCTCACCAAAATGGCATGTCACGCATCGAGTATGACATAAATGGCATGACAATGAGATAGATGCTAAAAAACTGATGTGGCAACATGACATGTATGACATCACTCCCTCAAGTCTAATACCTATGTAGTAAATAACATCTTGGAATGACGAACAAATTCAAAAGCTTTCACTGACCGCTTGTTTATGAAGTAGTGCACGTGTACATATATATGTTCACTTAATTTTAACAGTAAATTACACGAATGATCCTTATGGTTTGGATAGTTTGCATATTTGTTCTTTAATTTTTTTCATCTCGACGCATTTTTCACTAATCGAAATAAAACGACTCATTTACCCTTATTGATTATTTTACCTTTTAGTATTATTAATTTATTAAAAAATTTAATAAAATATATGGGTCACTGCACCATCTAATTATCATTCTCCAATCTTGCTCACACCTCCATCGGAAAACAACTCTTAACCTTCCCACTTTCTTTGTCAACTACTTATCGTCGGTCTACTCTACATCATCACCACCCACCCTTCCTCCATCTCCTTTTTACTTGTATCTCTGATTCCGTTGATTACATTTTAGATTTACAAACCATAAAATCAGAGGGGAAGTTGAAGTAGAAACCGTCGATTACATATCCCATCTGTCTGTTGTGCATTATCTTCGGTACCATCAACGGCTTCTTTGTAGTGCCAACAGAAGCAGAAATCATAAATCAAATGGGAAGTGTGCGACTTTTACTGGATTTTTATTTACTCTTTAGTGGTGGTTTCTGTAAGACTGAATTATGCATAATTGATCTCCAACCCATTCATTTCTTTGAGAGAATTATTTTTCTCTTTCCATTGAATTGGCATAGGAGAAGAACGAGCTTCATTGTCACACGAAACAAATGTGACTCAAAAAAGAGATGGTGTATTAGCCTCTACCGAAGCTTATAGTAGACCATAGTTTGTATTAGTGGGTGGTGCATCATCGACGATTTCTCAGTGCCTCCAAATTTCTAGGGCCCATTTTTATGTAACTATTTATATTATTATAAGAAAAAAAAAGTGTTTGTTATTAAGTCGTAGCAGGCAACGACAAAAAAAGGAAAAACATGATTGGAGCCAAAATTGGTAGAGAAGACGAAGAGATTACAACCGATTCTTCAGGATTCTAAGCAATTAATCATTTTTTACTTAAAAATTACTATCCATGGCCTCATTTTATTTATTTATTTATTTATTTATTTATTTATTTGCATGGGGTCTCAAATCGGCTTGAATCAGCCCAAAACATGGTACTTAGGTTAACTTCTCATTGGACCTATAACTACCCACTAAAATTCATTCAGTTACCCCCACCATAGATTGCTTTTATTGAAACCCTTGCTCGAAAATGCTCTTAATGAAAAAAAAAGTCACAAATACCATGTTTCTATTTCTCTCATGAAAAAACGATGGTGAAGGGTAGGATGGGTCTTCTTTTACGAAGGGATAGATTTGCGATGGGAAGAGGATCTGTAATTCTTAATCCGTTGGATTCTTACTGTTTTATCAATAATTCTTAATGTGTGATTTGTGATTCTTTTTTGATGTGTATGAAACGAACTAGTTTTAATCCTACTAACTTAGATACAAAATAAAAACACGAAAGGCAGTGTACCTATCGATTAGTAATATAGTTCAAGCAAGTAGGGTATCGAACACAGGGAACGGTAAACAATTAAAATAAATGCTAATATTATCTAAATAAAACAAGTAATAGAAAGGGGGTTTCTCTAGTTTTGCAAGACTAGAAACTTAACAATGAAATAAAACTCAAACTAAGCAACTAACAGCTAAAGCAAATAAACAATCACTAAATTCAATAATGGAGAAGACTTCTGTTTAGGTTCGACTCATTTACTCCTATGGTTGATTTTATGGTAAGTGCAATGGATTATTCGTTATTGGCTACCGATTAGTGTGATTAAGTTCACGTTTCGCTATTACTAATCCTTAGAAAACAAATTAATTCAAACATTGGCCAATTGGTTAAACTAATGAGTTTCCTAGACTATTGATTCGGGCTAAGTAAGACTTGTAATTAGCTAATCAAATTACTTATTCAATTAACCTCTTGTTGATGGTTCGTCACACAAGGCTCACACATTAATTTACCTATTTTCTAGTTAACCCTAGTTTCACATTCATTATTCCTAGGCACATAACAATGTGTTCACATAAATCACATGAGATAAGCAGTTAAGAGATGTTCATGCAGCTTAATTACTTAGCTAATTAACAGAAAATAGTTGTTGTTAACACATGAGGATCTTTAACAAGCTTAACAAAACAAATTCACCAATTTCAATTAATCCAACCACAAAAATCAACACATAGTCATAAATTCATCTACCCTAAACAGAATATATGAGTTTTAGCTCATGATTACAGCAGAAAGTTTATCAAAAACGAAATCTAATAGTTTACACATAGTTCAAACAAAAGATTAAGTAAAGAGTAAACCTAAATTGCCTTTTATCTTCTCAAAATTGAAAGCTAGGGTTGTTCCACGAGTTCCAGGGCTTCTAGCTGCACCCTCCAGTCGCAAATTAACCCCCAAGGGTTCCCCCATTCGTTCCGGTTCGAATGAGAAGCGTTTCTATATATATTTTCTGAAAACAGGGGCGAATCGGCGAGTCCAGTGACCTACTCGACGAGTCCATCACTTAAAACCCGTGTGCGGCAAGTCAGCGTCGAGAATCGCGAACTTTCCGATCAACTCGACGAGTTGATGCCCAACTCGTCGAGTCCGTTTGGAATCAACATTTTCTCAAAACACGAAAGTCATCCGAAATTGTGTCTAGTTTTCAGAACATTTTGAATCTCGTCAATCGGAGTTACGGTTAATGACATATGGCCAAAACACTGACGAGGGGTCAAGCTGTCCAACGACATCCTTCTTTCTTCAAAATCCAATATCCAAGCTTCCAATTGCTAAATCCGCTTCCTTTTCCATCCGAGCATGTCATTGTTGCTGAAAAATGAAATTCTAAACTAATTAAGCACCTTTTGTTCATTAAATGAGATAAAATCAACATAAAGTATTAAGATAATATATAAATTATATGACTAAATATGCCCATATAAAAATACCCCACACTTGACCTTTGCTTGCCCCTAAGCAAAACTGAATTTTAACATACTAAAACTACATAAGACAATCCCAATCAAACCCAGCCATTATGCCAAGACCGCAACGCATGCATTTGTGTCTAAATTTTTTCCTAAGGACCCCCCTCAATTCTAAATACTCACAATCCTCATAAACACTCGCCCACTTCTTTTGAACAATGCTCATTTTATGCATCCCTCCGAATTCATCCGTAGAAAACCTCCTAGCCTCAAGGTATTTTTGGTTGAGCAACCCAATCATACATAATCTAGATAATTACAACTTTTCGATACCACTATGGAGCTATTTTTGGAATTCTTTACTTCTTTGATATTTGATCTTTAATTTCTTTGAATTCACCACCTTTTTGATTTTTTGGTATCTTCACTTTTGATCCTTCGGAATTTTGGTCTTTTGATCTTTACTTTAATTGCTCCAAAATTCTTCAAACTTTTCTTGTAATTCTCTCTTTTTTTACATGTAACTCACTTTTTTTTTCACTCAATACCTACATGCTTAAGCAGGGGCGCTCAACTTCAACTTTTATTGATTAAAGATAAAAAAATTCCTGGATACATTTCTGGTACATGATGCTAAACATATTGCATCCCTCAAACTAAGCGAGGTTATGTTTTTATCCCATGATTTCACTAGAATAAAGGGAGCCACAAATGCATTATAACGTATATAAGCTCAACTAAACATTTTGGTCTTCATGCAATCATCAAACATAACACTAGCATGGAATCTTAATTGTTTTTACCAAAATTTCCTAAATTAACTCCTAGTAATTTTAATGCAAAATTTTAAAATTAAGCCTAAATTAAGATTCTAAGTTAACTAATGTAACCAACCCCCT